TATTAATGAAGTTGAGTATTCCCAAGTCTAGAAAACATGTCACATTTCCTCTCTCTTTACTGTTAAAGGGAGAGGAGGAGACCCTAGAACTGTGATGGTGAACCTATGGCATGCAGAGCCCTATCTGCGGGCACATGAGCCGTCATCCCAGCTCAGTTCCGCTGCGCATGCGTGTGCATCTCCTGCCAGCCACCTGATTTTCGGGTAACTGCCATGCATGCAGGAGATGCGCACACATGCGTGGGACACACACGGGGTCACGTGCACATGCACGGGGGTGGTATGCACTTGGGGAGTTGCACGCACATCCATGGGGCGGGCCCCCCATGCACATTGCATTATGAATGTGCGCGTGCACATATGCCCTTTCGGCACTCAGCGCCAAAGAGGTTAGCCATCACTGCCCTAGAGTCATCCCCTCCCTGTAGTTCGTCTCCTGTCAGACATGAATTGTTATAGCTGACATTAATTAACTACAATGAATTGTAGGAAATACTATCTTTTAACTAGGGTTTAAAGTGTAGTTAAGCATGTTTCTCAGTTAGGGAGTATGCATTCTTTGTCTTCTTGGAAAAAAAACCCTTTTGGATCAAGAAGGCATGAAAGTGATGTAGAAATATCACCAGAAGGGTCAGGGCAAAAGCCCTTTTTAAGTTAAAAATACATACATATGTTTAACAAATCCATTTATGGGGTGGGTTGGTTATAAAAACAAAAAGAAAGGAAAAAAAGTATCACATCAGCAGTTGGCAAAGTATTGCTACATTCCAGAAGTTGCAGAAATGGATCTTAGCACACACACATTTATGGACTACAAATCACCACATTTAATTTAAAGCAAATACGCAGAAGTTGTGGCCTTCAAAGCTTGGGTGCCTCTTTCAAAGTTGTACATATTAATGGTAAATTGAAGCATTCACACACAAAAGGGTAATGGGACATGAGGTTCTGAATTCATTCAGGATTATTAGTAGGCTGACATTGTTACACCTACATTGATCTGGAAGCCTTCAGAGTCAACACAAAACGTTAAATTCTGTAATAGTTTAAAGCATTCCATCTTGAGATTACTATGTTCTAAATCTGTATCTTTTTACAGCTTGGATTCATGTCTGAAAAAAAAAATCCATTGGTCTCTCATCAGTCCTAAAACAAAACATTCACACTTGGAGAGAAATGCTGTTCTATAATAAATTTTACTATAAGTTGATTGTTTAAAAGTTCTATGGTTGTCATGTGAATAGGCAAAATCCTAATTAAATAGCTGCATTGTAGAAAAGTGGAAAATGTACCATCTCATGAAAAGAAATGGATCTTAAATAAGGATTGGCAAATTAATGCTTATTGAAGAATAGTGGTTGTTTCTTAAATTGTTTTTAGAATACGTTAAGCTGATTTTTATCCAACAGGAAGAAGAGAAAAAAAACCTAAGATTCAATTGTTTTGGCTTCGCACTTTGATAGTAAATGACAATGATGATGGGTTAGTGTGCCTTATCTCGATTGTTTCATAAATTTTTAAAATTTCTTTCCTAAAAATAATAAAAAATAATTGCTATCTGTTTTTCAACATGTAATTGAGTTCACATTCTGAAAGCTGAAGTTTTTGTAAACGGTAGGTTTGATATGAAGGTCATGTTCAAATGACATTCTGAGAATCACGAATCTGAGAATCACGATTTTAACTTGATCTAGTCCAAACTGGATCGGGACTGGTCTGTTTCCATTCTGTATATCCTGCTTCTGTGACAGCAGAACATCTAAGAACAGAATTTCACACTTTTCAGGGAGATGAATGAACCATAAATTTCTTTTCCTTCTTTCAATACTATTCCTCTACTCCCTACACTCAAGCTTCTTCCAGCCAAATAGAATCCTTTCTTTTCAGATGCACTCTTGTTACCTCTTCTTACATAACATCTACTGTGTTTCCCCAAAAATAAGACATGTCTTATTTTCTTTTGAACCCCAAAATAAGCGCTTGGCCTTATTTTCGGGGAGGACTTATTATTTTTGAGGTGCAGGATGAAGTGATCTTTGTGTCCCACCACGGCAAGCGTGGTCACATCATGGCTGCTGCTGTGTTGCAATATTTTCAGGGTGGGCTTATTTTCACGGGAGGGCTTATTTTAGTGCATACGCTCAAAAGCCCGATTGGGCTTATTATCCGGGGAGGTCTTATTTTCTGGGAAACACAGTATCAATTCCAGCAATGATCTCCAAGCAATGATCTCTTCTCAACAATCATGTAATTCAGTCCCAAAGTTCTTCCCAGCATGAACACTTCATGTTTTTCTTTCACCACAACTTTCAAGGAATTCACTTTTTTATTGCTGGGCACTCTGAATCCTCCAGAATGTTCTGACCATCATTACCAGCCCATTTTATAATTCATCATTATTATAACTATATTCCAGTATTTTCTGCTCTCTGTTGACATCTCCAAAGTTCTCAATTCATACCCTTCCACTTCCCAAACTCTCATCTAAATTTTCCTCAGGCTGTACCGCTGCTCTTTCCCTAAATCCGTGATGGTGAACTTATGGCACAGGTGGCACACGGAGCCATTTGTTAGGGCACATAAAACATTGCCCTGACAGTTCCAGCGCACATGTGCCAACTGGCCAGCTGACTGCGAAAAACCGGTCCTACGGGCAAACCGGAAGTTCAGGAACAGACTTCCGGTTTGCTCATAGGGCCGTTTTTCGCCCTCCGGACCCTGAAGGAGGATTCCCTGAAGGAGGATTCTCCTTCAGGAGGCTTCTCTATGGAAAAACCAGAAGTCACTTCCAGTTTGCTTGTAGGGCCGTTTTTTTGCCTTGGGGGGGGGGGTGTCCATGCGCGCTGGGGTCGCACGCATAGCATTATGTGTGGCACGCCTGCAGAAAGAACCCCTGCGCTCCCCCTGCTTTTGTCATGCGAACCAAAAAAGGTTAGCCATCACTGCCCTACATCATTGCTCTGTTCATTGGTTCTTCATCCCTGACCTCTCTCCATTCTGTCACCTAGGACTCCTAACCTTCCAGCTCTCCTCCCCAAAGGCAGCCATGCACTATCAATCTTTCTAAAGTTGAACAGAGAGTTAGTTATGGCCATAACCCCCCAAAAATCATTATGGGTACATGCTATTTTAAACAAAATAAAGATATAATATCTCCCTAGCTTATAAGGTCCCGATTTCTTTTCAGTAGGTTTTGCTTTTCAAAACTTTTTTTGGTCCTAAGCTGCAGGGAACATTTATTCATAGTAAAGAACATGAGCAAAACAAAACATAATAATCCCATGCTGTATAAATTTAGGAGGCAAATACTATTTTTAGCTGTTCTGTATATTCCATGCTGTTCTTCATCAGATTCCGAATGTGCAGAAGGACATGTACGCATGACAGCTTAGCTATTCTAGCCAAGTCCTCCTCATGACCTTTATTTTCCTCTTCTGAACAAGATGCAGAATATGTATGATGGGTTAAAGATAGATAGTTGATCTATCTATCAACTGTGATTAGTTGTAACAAACATTTTTCATTGGTTCCTACTTAGAATATGTAGCATCAAAACAATGCCAAGTTCACAGAAATATTCACAAGGTTTTCTAGAGAAGTGTTGGCAGAGAACCAAGTCCCACTATTTAAACTCTCATTTTAGAAAACAAAAACATTTGAGTATTTCACTCCCATTGGATATTTGATGATACTGGATCAAAGGTTGCTATCTGTGACTCAGTGGCCCTTACAACTAAAATAATTGCATATTATATAAAATTAGCATCTGGCTTCAGTCCAGGTATAATAGTGTTTATGTAATATGACTCCATTCTGTTACTTTAAGTGCACGTAGCATCTGCAGCTAAATGTAAAGTTTGCTATTTCTGATATAGAACTGATGCCTCTTGGGATGTGCCATTTCAGAATGTACATTAGAGAACTACATTTCTAAGCATGCCCCAAACGAAGTCACTCTTGTGATAAGTAATCTTCTTTTTGAGCCTAATTTTGATTAGAATGTATATGTACAATTGCCTTCTGTGAGGGGACTACATCGCATCAGAAATTGCACTTGCAGGTTGATTTCTCATTGAAGAGTCTTCTAATAATTTACCTTATTATTTCTAATAATTACAATAATTTCTGATAATCATTATTCCTTCTAATAATTTCCAAATATGATAAATGTATGTTAGGGTTAGTGTCTTCTGGGAGATACATCTAGAGAGACTAGTCTTAGGATTCTTCTTCCTGCTCCTGAAGTTGAATTTCCACCCATTTTTGAGACATGGGGTAACTACACGGTTGCTGGCTCCAATTAGCAGCAGCAAGTTGGACCCAAGTCAAGTAGATCCATCCAAGAATTGTTGTAGGAAGTAGTGGCCATCTCTCCAGCAATCACAGAG